AAATTGCATGAAATAACTACTCACTAGTTGGTTTCAAGATGAATTTTTTGCTTGTGAGAAGAAGATGAGTTAATTAGATATACGTATTGAATATTTTCCGATCATATTTGTAATTGATAAATTTAGAGAGGGAGAAAACAAAATAGGCACAAATAGTCTCTAAATCACAACTAAAATTTAATCTGGTCCCTTTCATTTTTTTTTCCTATTCACACCCTCGAATACATTTCAGTTTATATATATATATATAGCCTTCTGAAATCTAAATTGTAATTGAGTAGTCGACCGAAATGTTTTTCTCTATACACAACAGATAACATTCTCCATATTTCTTTGCCATCTAGTAGATGGCTGTTCATAATATAATCGACTATTATTAAGAAAACAAATTAATTCCATATGGATATAGTAATGTTCAACCTTATAATTATTTATATAATATCTATCCTGTACTAGGAGAAATTGATAATGGAAGCATGTCACATTTCAGTTTTCATTGTTTCTATATCATGACTCCATTTTTTAAATCCTTGAGGATGAAATGCCATCGATGATATATATTTTTTTAGACCTAGACACATTGTTTTATAAATTCAATTGAATCAACAAAGTCTTATAATAAACCTACTCAATGACGTTCCTTGAAACAAAAGAGCTCTTCGTATTTGGACCATGTATACAGCAAGAAGAAAAATCCCATGATCCTCCACCTTTACTTCTTTTATTTTTAATTTTTTATAATATTGGTGTTGCTATATCATGTAATAAGGGTAGTGTCAAAATAAGATATTTATTATTAAATAGTTATCTCAGTTTAAATGTTTAAGCTATTAAATAAAATTTTAAAAATAATTTTATTTTATTTTTTAATATATCATCTCAAGTGAAAAAAAATTTAACTTAAAATTTATATAAAATCATGTTAACTTGTGCTTAAATATTCTTATAAATTAAAATGGAGATAGTAAAATTTAAATTTATAATTATTTATTTAACAAGTGTAATATTACATTAAAAAATTTAAACTTCTAAATTAAAATGATAAATGTACAAAAACATAATAGCTTCAAAGAAACTAGTACGCAAACACACATATAAAAACAGAAGAGCCAAAAAGAACCCGCAAAAGCGAGTGACAAGAGGATGCAAGAAAGGGTATGGAATCAAGGCTTTTGCGCTATTGCGGAAATTTCAAGATTCAATAGCACATCTTCTGACATGTACAACAAAAAATAAATAAGATAATGGTACAGCATTATTACAAAAAATATCTCGCATTGAATTTAAAAATATTAAAAAAATAAAAACGGACCATCAACCACATATAAAGCTTATTATAGAATTTATTTAATTATCAAATCCAATACAATACCCAAAGAAAAAAAGAAAACAAGACAAAATGGTTGAAGAGAAACAATGTTCTTCTAGGATGAGAGAAGAGTCATCTTGCTTTACTCTTTATGCTTACATAAGGATACGATATGTCCCAAATTAATGGGGTTGAGAAAATAAAAAAATAAAAAATATATAGTGCTAAAAAAACTTGGCTAGCTAGAAAAAAAAAAGGTTTAGAGCTATGTTTATATATATAAACAGATAAAAAAAAAAAAAAAGGAAAGCTCTATACCAAACTAAAAAGTGAGATTTTTTAAAATTTAATTTGTTCTTTGTAAGATGCCTTCAAGATCTTATATAGATCCAGGCTCAGGCCTGTATATAATCTTTGTAAGATGCCTTCAAGATCTTATACAGATCCAGGCTCAGGCCTGTATAAAAAAAATTATTGTTTATAGATTAACTAAAGAGCCAATATGAATTATAAGATAAAAGATTGAACTATATATTTACTGTATATATAGACAAAGAATCATGCAGGCATGTCCTTGTATATATAGCTTATTAAGGTTTTTTTTTTTTTTTCCAAACCATTGTGGACGTTTGCATGATGTTGGTCTTTCTTTCCAAAAGTGTGGAGTTTGGCTTGCGTGGCTGCAACGTGGAGGCCTTACGGGGACCAAAGCTGGTGTGTAAAGTGCAAACTGCATGGAACTCTTGTGGACATGTTCTTCGGCTTTGTTTAATGGAAGATGGAGCCGACAATCTCTCAGCTAATATTCGTCCACACGACGTTGTTGCTCGTATCGATTTTAACTCACCAAAACAGCTGATGTAGTGATGGAGCATTCACTTGGTTGTCGGTATTGTCGGCGGTATTTGAAAAAATAATATTAGTTATATTTTTTTAGAAATATTTTTTAGTTTTTATTTTTTTAAAATTATTTTTGATATTGATAAAAATATTAATTTTAAATTAAAAAATAATTGAATTTTTTAAAAATATTTTTAAAATATAAAAACAAATTGAAAGATGGCAGGCTTTGGATATAGTGGAGACCGTCCTTCTACAGCCACATTTGCAGCAGGCCATTTTGATGGGTCGAAACCGGAAGAAAAGGCTTCAATCCAGCTTTCCTTTGCTACTTCTATTCTCAAACTTGCACGAGAGGGCTTTTTTATTTTTATTTTATGTTTTTTATGAGTAGTGAAGTCACATAATTGCCTTTAAAATAAATAAAAAAGCATGGTTCCAAGGTTGTTTGGGTTTTTTAGTTACGGTTACTTTTTTTGAAATTTTGGTGTTAATTTCGGGATACTTAGTAATTTTGTAAAATTAAATATTATTAAAAAATATTATTAATATATGTATTACATGCAAAGTTGTTTATTTATCTAAATTAGTTATTTACAATAGTGTTTGAAGTGGTACATTGTTCTCTTTGTGATGGTATGATGCATATTCATGATGGAGGTATGGTTGAATTTGTTTTTTTTTTCCTCTTCTCTCTCCTGACCTAAAAATTCATGTTAATTCTTTTAAAAATTGAATAAAATCCTTTAATTTTTATTTTTATTAATTTTAACTCTTATTTTTTTTATTGTTATTTATTTTGTTTTTAATGCTTTTTAAAGTTTAACTATTTTTCAATTTCATCCATAGACATTTTATTTTATTTAGTTTTTTATTCAATTTGATTTTCATTCTTTTGTTTTCTCTTCTTTTTTTTTGGTGTTTTACACTTTTTAAAATATTTTTTTCAATTTCTTCTATTTTTTTATTCAATTTCGGTCCTCATTCTTTTGATTACTATTTTCTTATCATTTTCTTGATTATTATGTTTTTCAATTTTATCCCCATGTATTTTATTTCATTGATTTTTTTAATTAAATTTTGGTCCTTATTATTTTAATTGCTCTTTTCTTATCCTATTCTTGATTTTTTTTCAATTTAATTCCTCAATATATTATTTCATTTACTTATTTTTATTCAATTTATATTATCATTCTTTTAATTATTATTTCTCTATTCTATTCTTATTTTATTTTTATTTTTTGTTATCTCGAGCCGCAAGTTAGTTAAGTTAACTCATGGTGACTCAATTTTTTCCAATGTTTTTTTTTATTTAACTCTAATCTTTCTTTTTAGGCCATTTAAAAAAAAAATACCAATATCATGTTATGGGTGGTGGATCAGTAAAGTAAACTTAGATTAACTCGGGTTTTTTCTCTTGATATTTTTGTTTTGAAAATTAAATGTTTTTTAATTTTTTTATTTAAGATAAAGTTGTTTTATGATTTCTTTTACTTTTCATGCTACGAGGTATCCTAATCTTATATATCATGTGTTCATTAAGTATCATGTAGGTATCCTAATCTTATATATAATGTGTTCATTAAGTATCATGTGTTTATTAAGTGAACCTATACTAACTCAAGTTATTATTATTTAGATTTTTTTATATTAAAAAAAATCTAACTTCACAACGTGAGCAAAAGAAAATCTAGTAGACTTCTAGAAAAAAAACAAAATGTTAACATGCATGTGTATTATAATATGTAGGAGTTTTAGTTAGCTTGCAAAATTAAAAAGAATGGGAAGTAGGAGTTTTCTTCTTGAGTAGTAGGAAATTATTATGATAGCCAGTAAACTTGCTAGTAATTTCCCTGATTTTTATTACAAAACTTATGAATTCTTCCGAATTCTTAACCTGATAAATATCTGTCTGCAAAATGAGCCGCAATTCATGTCATTTTATTCTCGAGTCATGCTGCCATTTACATTCTTGAGGAATCGTCAACTAGATGGTGTTGTAAATTTAAACAATCTTGCTTCATCACCGGTCTAAGAACATTTTTTTCTTCTCCACCTTCCTAGCTAAGAGTAGGAGTATGGAAGCCGAAGTCAAGGGTTCAACAACGACTGCCATCTTCGGCAGATTGCAAGTTCAAAATGTTGTAACCAAAACAGTTTGCTAGTATACAGCATGCTTGTTCTGGAATCCCTTCCAAAGCAAAGGTATTGCAAGTGGCAACATGATTATAATAATTATTTATTATTGAGTCCAAGGAATAAGAAGTTTGAACTTTAAGGCCCGAAATGTCCCAGATTCCAAGAAGTTAGATAGCTTTCTCAGAGGATCAAAGGGGAAAAGGGTAATTCATACCCAGAAATTTTGAGAGTTTGACTGAAAGTCTTTTGAAGTTTCTTGCAATTCGAAGCAAATGAAGAGAAAACACTCACACATACAGATCTTAAACTAAACATTAAAACAAAAATCTGTAGCAGATTATTATATTCCCTTTCAAAATAACAAAAAAAAAAACCCCTTTTTTCACGAAGTTTAACAGAAACTGATGAAGTAGACACTCATATATGGAAACTGAAACTTCATTGATATATAAGTCCAGCCAGTATTAATCATTTTCCTCTATCTAGGATCTTCAATTGCTTGACATTCATTCATCTCAGGAAGTACAGAAGGTTTATTGCGCTCAAAAAGGGCCTCAAACTTCAATCTTCAATCAGCAACTCAAAACATTACATCAACAATTTGGTAAATGAAAAACTAGCATGGTCCACCAAAAGTTTTAGACATCCAGTAGTCAAGATCTTTAGGACTCTTTTTTTCCACTTGATGTCGAGTATAGTAGAGAATCTCATATTTTCCAATAAATAAAAAATAATCCAGTCACTAATCAACAAAAGTATAAAAAGAAAAATAAAGTGATTGTTAATAAACCTATATCACCCTCATCAAAAACTGAAAAGTCAAACAATCCAACGCAAAAATCATGAAATAAAAATACACTCAAGATTTAGAGCTGAAAATCCATCAGACTTGGAAGAGAACTCTATTGTTAAATGTTAAAACACCAGAGATGGAGAGAAAAACAGGAATTAACTGACCTTTTGAGCAGTTGCAAGGTTCTGATGATCTAACAGAATATTTAAGATAAGGATCTGCTGCCTGCTGGTAAACTTTACATCTTAATTTCGCGATGTGCTACCTTCTCCGAGTAATCAATCTCTTTCTTCAAATTCTATGATGTGCTACAATGTTGCAAAGTTTAATACATTATAATAGAAATTCGGATAAAGAATCAAGAAAATGAAATAAGAAATTCTCATAGATGAGAAAAAATAATTACTTTGTTATCGAGTTACTGAATAGAGGTAAACAACCCAGTGTGCCATTGTCTCTCGCAATATATCTTCAGCTGCTGCTTCTCTTCTCTGTTGCATATTTTACCACAGACCTAATCACGTAGGTCAGTGTAGAAATAAAGTAAACATGTCTGTAGCCTTCACCTGCTTTGATTTTGTTTACAGTTGCCAAGGCAATCGCGTAAAGTTTACATTTTTAAGCAAAAAAAAATATTGATATTGAAAAACTTATGCCGTGCTGTTGATAACTAAGTAGAGAAATAAATGTGTGTTTACTTGTAATGTTGTTGAGGATTCACTATCCAAGAATTAACCAAATGAGCATATATTCAACACATGAACGCATAACAAATCATTACTTGAAAACACCAGTTTAAGGAATTTTCTTGTCTTTCATGGCGCTACTTGTTTCAGAGAACAAATACTTTCAGGCAACATCTAAGCTAGGGTATTTGGGATCATCCAAACTGATTAAATTATCTAATCAGTTAATGGGAAAGTACAAATTGTGTTTGATTGGGTGGTTGATGTGATCCTTCAATCAAAATATGAAAATTAATGTCCAAACTCATGTTCTTTCTTTTCTTTTCTTTTTTTTCCCCTTTTGCTGATAAGCCATGCAATGAGAAACTCCGGAGGGCTAAGAATGCAACAGGGAAGAAGCACGTATGCTGATTCTAGATAGTAGAAAGTGATTGCCGTTCAAAAATATATTAAAATAGTTCAAAAATATATTAAAATAATTTTTTATTTTTAAAATTTATCTTAATATCATCGTATCAAAACAATCTAAAAAAATAAAAAAAAATAAAAATTTAACCAACCTCTATTTATACTTAAATACTGCACTCCCAAAACAGGACAAATTCTAGCCAAAAACGAAAAACTAAAGCAAGGCGAAGAATTACAAAGCCAGTCAAAAGTGCGTGAAAAACCCGAACAATAATACACAAGGGTTGAGGCTTCATAGACTGCCTATAACAAAATTAATGCCATAATCAACTTCTATGGACTAACTCAACTTATTATGACTCAGCTGCAGCAATGCAGAAACAGTTGTAACAATCCGGAGGAACAATTGCAGGAGCAGCTGCATCATACTTTGCGTAAACAGATTAGAATCAGCGGAATTAATTCAATGCAAACATTCCCACTCAATGCTTTGTTTAAAAAATAAGATCTCCCATTAAACAAGCAGCATCAACAAACAGTACGATACAAGGCACAAGATCAGGAACGTATCAGCTGTCTATAATGGAGTAGCAGGAGAAAAGTCTCAGACCTTTACATGAAGAACTTATCAGTAATTTGATTCTATATTGATGCATTGTTTAATCAGCATCCCATAGACAACATACTTCCAGGACTGAATTCAAATAAAGCGCCTTTTCCCTTTTATCTTTCTCCTTAGACATGCAATGCTCATACTAATAGAGTCACGAGAACAATTAAAACAAAACAAAAGGAAGACCAAGAGCTGCAACTAGCATATAAAATAAAATGCCAAACAGAATGTTGTGGCACGGAGCTTTAATCAATCAAATGGATAGGGGAGCTCACCTTGTTAGAATCCAAGCACAACATACTGAAACTTCCAAATAGTTGATAAACAAAAACAAATATGTAATAAAACTCTATCAAGCAAAGCCAACCATCTGCATTCACATTTTTGAAAATGAAGCAAAGCAAAGAACCTCCCGGCCCATAAATAAACAGCCACATAGAGCAGATAAAAACTCCTGGAACAGATCCTTTACTGCATATCATATAAAATTGCTACTTCCGCATTCCTTGCATAGAAGTGTTCCAGATATTCTCAAACCATCAGTCATTCAGGCTAAATATCAGTGAATTTTATATCAAAGCATGCTCATTAAATAAGAAAGATCACGAGTACACAGAATTTTATACAGAAAGGAAAATGTGAACTTGTTTAACTCTATGAAAACTCAAAAGTTGAGAGCCTAACAGAAATCTATATGTAAATCTGCAACATCCATGGCCATCATTAACATATCCACAATGGTTCTTTAGAACACCTTAGCAGTTGTTCTGTAGTGGAAGCCCAAGTCTTGAGAGCAAGCCTTCATAAAGGAACTTGGGCCTACCATTCGGAATTAACCTCTCGTCTACCTTTCTCCTACAATACTTGAGCATAACCTTTCTCCTACTATACTTGAACAAAACCCTTTTCCTACTATACTTCAGCAGATAGCGATCATGCTTTTTCTTGCATCCTTTATCATCAGGAACCATAGATTCGTTTCCTTCCCTACAAGACTGAAAATCAGAGTTCACACTGCAATCATTCCCCCTTGAGTTTATCAACTTGTTGAAAAAGCTCTGTTCTTGCTGCTGCATGCCCACATTCCTATCTTTCTTAGCATCTGGTCTAATTATACCATCATCATTTCCATTTGATTTCCGACGCCCCAAGTCCACACTTTTACTCATGAAGCCATCAAGCTTTCCAAAAGCACCGATATTCCTCAAATCTGAATTTCTAATCCGCATTTCACCATTACCCTCCCCTATCATAGGAGCACCCAAACAACTTGAATTAACCAAGCACAAATTACTTGAAATCCGAGGTGAACTATTCATTGCTCTATGCAATTGAAATGCCAATTCAATATCATCAACATTATCATTATTCTCCTTGCCACCCTCATTATTAGCCACCAAATCTAATGCTTTCCTAGCCACATCCGCCGCCTTCCTCGCCTCCAAAGCCTTCCTCACAGCCAACTCTCTAGCCCTAACTGCAGACTCAGCCTTCTCCTGTACCGTGCAAGCAGCATCCTTCACCACATCCTCCAAACTTATACCCAAAACCCCAGCATCGTTCCTCTTGCTAACCCCACAAACCTTCCCCCTTTTAATAGCAACCGATTTCGGCACCCAACAATCAATACAAACAGAAAAACCACCACTATCACCGTAACAAGAATACGACCAAGGGGCAACATTCTTACGTTTAGCAAAACAAGATTTATGAACAACCCTCTTACATTGGCAACAACGAAGACACTTAGTCTTGACAGTAAATTTTCTAAAACAATAAGAGCAAATTTTGGAAGACTCAACAAGGTTAAAACATTTTGCACAAAGAAGGATGATTCGCCACTCACTGTATAAAATTTCGAGTCTTTTATGAGAGGGGGTGCGGAGACCACAAGACTGACATTCTGTCAAATTTGGCTGATCCCTTGTCTTCTTGGCTTCGTTGCTGATCATTGGCTGTTCTTGTTCTGCACTCATTCTCTCTTTTTCGTGAAAAAATCGATGGAGGATTTCAGGTTAAGACCAACTTCTTATCGTTTCCATTCTCTTCATTATTAGAGACCCTAGAAGAGCAAGTAAAAAAATGAAAATGAGAGGTTAATGACGTTTGGAGGTCCTTATAGTTTTTGTTGTTTGTGTAAATAGTCCCTCATCAAAATAATCTTTTAATCTGACTCCTATACCTTTGCCACCTATATCACAAGTTTGCTAGGTCATTTTAAAGAGGATAAAAGATTTAAAATTTAAAAAAAAAATATTAGAGTTGATCTAGATTAATTAAATTAATTAAATTTAATCAAGTGAACCTTAAAATTAATTTGAAATAAAACTTTATCAAACTAAGTTTTAAATTATTAAATTATTAAATTATTAAATCATTAATAAATTATTAAATAGACACACTGAATCAGATTTAATAACTATATATATACATCTTACTCTCATTTATTTATTTACTCTAATTACAAACCATTTATTTTATTTACTCTTACACTTTTCTTCTTTTAAGTATTTAATTTTTGTATCCATTTCTTTTTAAAATATATATTTTTAGTTTCTTTTCAGATTATATTTGTTTGGTTTTATTGTGGTTTATATCTATCACTTTTGGTATATTTCTTGGCATTCTTTTATATTTTATACTCATCTCTTTTGGTTTAATTTTTCTTGATTTTTCTCAAATATTCATAGTATATTTCATGGAAAAATTCCAAAGAGTTAATGAAACAAAGGAGCTAATCATATGAACAAACTTAAAATATAAAGATTGGATTAAAAAAAAATCTCTGTTTTTCATGAAAGACCCTTTGTATAAAAACCCAAACTCATTGCACTGCATATCAAGCCGAAGAAGATGAACTTAAACATTACATGTATTTCTAGCTTTTCAATCTGCCAATCTTGATGACTACTCAAAAGCATTTTAATATCATCAATGATTTGATAGATATCCCAATTAATATCTTCATGTTGCTGTGATAATGCTTCAGCTACAATGGCTGAATCAGTTTCAATGATCAGATTGTCATGTCTTCTTGATACTGCCATCCTCATTGCCCCTCAAAGAGGGAAATTAAGCTTCAACCTGCCAAGAGTTTCCGCACCTTGGTCGCTGTGAAATGCCATCCATAGCTGTACCTCTGTGCTTTATCCATACAATCCAAATGCCAGCATCAATTTCATTTCCTTTGAAGGCTGCATCAATGTTGATTTTCGAAGTTGAAATGTTGCCCTAGGAGATGTCCATACGGTTGGACTGCTTGTTTGAATAGCATGATGTTTCCCTGCTTATTTGAATAGCATGATGTTTCATTTGCACAAGAAACGCCTTGCTCCTAGCAACTCAGCACAAGTTCTAAAGGCTGAGTTCACAGTCCTAGGATCAATCTGAGACCCTTCTAAAACACATTTGTGCCTGGATTTCCATACCTTCCAGCACATTATTAGTAGTGATGGTGTTTGATCTTGCAAGACATTTTTCCTGCTAACAATTCTCAACCCGGCATTTTATTCTCAAAGGCCTGGCATTTTCTTTATCAAGGAATAGAACGCCAGCCTTCTAGCACAAACCATCTGGATGACAAACAGACTGCTACTACAATTGCAATTTGTTTTTATAGTACACTGTTCTTACAAATTAACACAAGTTTGCAACTTCATCTATTGCTTTGGTATTGCCACTTTGCACAAATTTAGTCTGAAAAAATTAGACAAATGATTGGAATGTGAGATGCTTCAATTGCAATGACGATAAATACAGAAGCAAACTGATAAGATTCAACGTCATACATCATGAGAAATTTTACAATTGTAGTTTTTCAGCGATGCCTTGAAGACTTACTTCTCATAGAATCCAACCGCATTTCGCATCTGTTGAAGCGACTTCCAGGTCTCCAACAAAGAAAAGCATTTGATCCAAAATACCTTGGCTGGGTTTCTCTTCTTTCAGAGATTCATCTCCCACAAGCCTTTCCTTCGTCTCCTAGAGCCCAGATACCAATGGAATTCACCTTGGTGAGCAAGAAAGAAGTCATCCTCTTCTCTGATTATCTCCAGCCCCCTGCACAAGTAAAGGAGCAGCACTTTCATTCAGACACGCAACATCAATTACTTATAACCAGAATTCTATCCCAGGTCAAAAACTTTGAAGATTGTGAGAAATAAAAGACAGACTTCACTTTTAATTTACAATCCAATTCGATCACCTTGGTCTTGCACCTCATAAACATCTTTCCAAGATTTTGAGTCATTAGGCTCATAGAATGCTGGCACGATCTTCTCCCCATCTCTCTTTGAAGAGGTTAGACCATAACTTATTGTCTGAGGCCAAGAAATTCCACTTCTTGCAAACTTTGCAATGAAAAATCATTATGTTAATAGCACGATTAAAACTCCAGAAAATCCAACAAAAAAAAAGTAACAGCATAGAAAACAGTTCACTAGTAACATTGTAACAGCAGGTTCGGAATATCCAACACAGCCGAACCACCTATTCTCAACTACCAGAACCCGTATACTCAAGCTAAATTTAGAAAGTCAATAAATATTATAGCCGCCATTGATTCATTTCCAAATTTGTTCAAAAGCATGCTCAGCTGCATATTACACCTGCAAATGCAACGCATTTCAGCACCAAACCATTATTAACATGCCTCCAAAGGTGATCTTGGGGAAGAATTTCTCTAAAATTAGCATCACACATGATATAAGAACCCATTTTTTCCTCGGATTCGAAGAAATTCATAAATATCAACCGCTCTCCTTTGTCTAGGATCTTCAATTGGTCCTTCATAGTAACCATTCAATTGCTTCACATCAGATATATTTATTTAAAAAAATCATTAAGCATCTTGCAATCTACAATCTCCAATTCAAAATATTATAACCGTACTATAAGATCAAAAATTTGAAAAAAAAACTAGCATAATTCAATGAAAATTCAAGAAAAACTACATAACCCTTTATTCATTCAAAGAAAGAAACACAACATATCACTCACCAACCAAAAAAGAGAAAAAGCAATCAAGTTCAATGCAATAATCATTAAAAAAAAGAGAGACCCTTAGAATCTAGAACTGAGAATCATCAAACCCAGAAGACAGTTTTATAGTACAAACGTCAAGAAATCAGAAAGAAAGTAAAAAAGGAAAGTTTCTACAGACCTTGTTGAGCAGTTGCAAGGTTCTGGTGATCTAGCCAACAGAATATCTTAAGATAAAGATCTTCCGGTAGTCTTTCCATCTTAACTTCAACTCAAGCCTGTTTTTGCTTCAGTTTTCAGATGTAAATCTTATGGAAGCTTTCAGACAGCTCGTTACATGATCGGAAGACCGAACTACCAGTTCCGCGTATATATATTTGTTTGAGTAAATTCTCTTTAGTTCCTATATTTTGCATAATATTACATATTAGTCATTGATGTTTCAAAAAATTATAACTTTGTCCCTTCACTGTTGTTGACCTTGATCATTGTATTATTAAATATTCTGTTTTTTATTTTATTTTTTGGCAAATTCCAGAAGTTGCATTTAACAATATGAGGTCTTAGATGAACACCAACATAGTAGGAATTTAGAGAAAATGCCAACAAAATATTTTACAAGTTTATGGTCACCAATTGTCTAAGGAGGTTTTCAAACACTGGGTTAAAATTATATTAAGAAATAAGGAACTAAATTAATTCAGTATATTTGTTTTCCTGTTGTGGTTTAGATTATTCTATATTTGTCTAGTCTTGTACACTTGTTTTGTTTGATTCTATGATGTATGGTATTTTTTAAAAATATTTTTTTATTTAACAACACTAAAAAATTATCAATTTAATATTTTTTTTCAATACAAATATTTAAAAAAAAAATACTTAAAAACAGGAACTATAGCACCTAATCAGGACCTTAAGGTTGTAGTTATTATTATTTTTACATTAAATATATTTTCAAGTCAGTTTATAATTTAATTAAAACTAAATCTTTTCCCTGGCAATTTTAAAAAACTGTCGGGTTGGTTTATATATTAAGCAAAACTAAATCTTTTTAAGGATATAAATTATAAAGAGTATTAATAAAAAAAAAAGAATTAGACATTGACTCAGGAAACTAAGAAAATAAGGAATGTTACAAAACTCTTAATTACCAAGGAAATTTTTAGGTTTTGGGTAGGAAACTGGCCCTAAAGGCTCACCATAACCACACTGATTTATAGGGAGGGCCTAGTAATTCTCCATTAAGAGATTTAGATGTGCTTGATTGATTTTTTATATTCAAATTTAATATAAGCATTTAGATAAATTTATCATATAATTTTAAATACAATAAATCAATGCAAAACGTATTTATGATCATTCATAAAGAATTAATCTCAATTAAGACAGTCAAATGATTGTTTCATTTGATGATTTTTCTGTTTTATATATACAGAGATGTTCTTTCCTCACAAGTATTAGTCAAATCACTTGTGATCACACAAGGGAAGATTAAGCAAGATGAGCGTACCTAATTTCTAAACTTATCAGCTAAGATTTCCGTTTTCTCCTAATAATTACTAGGGTCACTTTCAGGCCCCATCAATAAATTTCAATAACCAGTAGCTTCCTTGTAAAGCATCAAGAAATCATACCTCAAACCTTACATGTAAAGCATCAAGAAAAGCATTAGGATACGTCATCGATCATTCATTAGTTCGGTGCGACATCTACATATCAAAACCATCTAAAAAATCATTTCTGCGCAAAAGCTTGAAAACACATCATCAAATAGGTAAGCACATTGAGAAGCCATATATAATTTAAATTGAGAGTACAGACTTATAGACCAAGTTTTGAAACCAATTACATGAATTACTTTGTAGACTTGCAGTAATAAGCAAAGAGGCATGTTTGTATCAAAAGAGGCTGCTACTAATACACTACTACTACTCTGTCAAATAAGTGACAGCCAAAAATGAATGATTGTAGAAGTCAAAGAGGCATGTTTGTATCTCCTCCTTCTTTGAAGACAGATCACTATATTCTCCTTGTTGATTTCAAGGTTAAATCATATGTAAACTTCGAACTAGCTGGAAGCACAACAGATATATAGAATGAATTGGGTGGTTGTTGTTTCCAAAAGTAATCGGTCTGTTTGATCAAATGTTCAGTGGCTCTGCCTCGTTATCCCTTCCCTTCATTTCCCAGACTTCTGTCTCTGTAATAATGCAACAGGCAAGTATTGGTAAATATATGCACCATGTTTCTTCCACTGTGCAGTATGCACAAAATAATCTAAAGATGAACTGAGAACTGCATTTATATCTAAGTTCAACAGAAGTTACAAAGTAGAGGGAAAAGATTTACTTTGCTTTTCTGCAATCACCAAGAGCCTCCTCTGCAAGATAGATGCCACCACGAGGAAAATCGAGCACATACCAAACATAAAAGTGATAGGGAATGCATTGACCTTCAAATAAAAAACCAAAGAACTAGTAAGCAAACGCAAATCGAGAGACACTCCATGTTTGCAATCATGTGGTGGGTGAGTTGGAGGGGAGGGGGAGGGTGGTAGCATGGAACAAAAAACTACTTCCAAGTTACAAGTTGGTCGTTCTGGAGATGGATACCAATAGGGTTAGTCTTAACTAACTGAAGGTTAAACCAGTGCACTGAGTCTATCAATTGTGATCAAAACTTACACAATGCTAGCACACATGCATAAACACCTGGTGAGTAAACTAGGTTTTTCCAGTTTTATGAGCAATTCTACAATTACCACTCCTAATGGGTCAGGATATACAAGTAAAGCTAGCAACTTACATTGTACAAAACAACGCACACAAAGATATTGAGTGGAATGCGGAAGAAGTTCATGATGGTGCTCCTGGCCTCCTCAGGAATGTATTGGGACCTCATCTTCATAATGGAAGGCCAGAATATCCCTACACAAGCCTCAAAGGTGCAGAAGCCAAGCATCTGGAGACAGCCTGATAATGAGATGCCACCACCCTTAACTTTAGAAGGTGCTACTAAGAACTGTTCCATGTCAGAGAAACTGCAGATTAATAGGAGAACATGAAAGGAGGAAACAAAGGATCAAAATGATAGATTGGAAACCATACATACACTGGTTACAATAGGAAGCAGAAGAGATGCTGATGAGATAATGAAAACAATCTGCATGTAGCTCTCAACCCTGGGTGATGAGCGGGCCATCAACCGAGATGCAATAGAGCTTCCCAACATTGATGCCAACATGAATGTCGCAAAAATAAATCCATGAGGAATTTCCTCATCGTTTGGGCTCAAAGCAGGTGTCCAGAGGAACACAAAGGTATACATAGAACCTTCAAACAGAGACTGAATTGCACCCAGCAAAGCAATTTTCTCATCTGAAAAGCATTAAATATAATTCAGAGGAAAGGGGAAAACTATAAGAAGGAAAACATATGGGGAAGCAACGTCAAAAAAGTAGCAAGAAAGAAACAGACTGAAGGAAAAAAAAACTAGCTTGCCAAACACCACACTGAACAATGAATGCATCATCCAAAGCAACTATCAGACTCTACCAGAAGCAATGGCCATGGCAGCACCCCTGAATTGGGCAATCAAGTCCTTGTTCTCTGAAGGATCTCCGTAGTTCTCTGTCCATGATGACAAAATAATGGCCATTCCAATTGCAAGAAAGCATGCAGCAGCATCAAAAGGAGCCACAGGGCCAAGTTGAAATGTATCTACAAGAAAGTTTCCAAACAATCCTGACAAGATAGCCACAAGACCATTTCCCAGAAAAATTGCCTTCGAAAATGTCAGTGACAGCCATTGTTGATCAAAGCCCCTCTGCACCAATTAAGTGAGAATAAGAAGAATTAAGATGAGGTTACATTTAAAGGTGATTACCCATCTGTTAATGATTAGATTGAATTGGTTTTAGCAAAGAACAGTGAGGAGGAGAGATTGTTATGGCAGAAACTTGGATCAGAAGTCTTGAACCACAAATGTTAAGGAGGTTCACTGATCTACCAAGTGTTATTTAATGATTTGTTCTTCTAAATCTGAAACCAGAAAGTATTAACTAATAACACTACAGCAGAAAAACAATCCATTACCTTATTGTGTTCTGCAACCAGCCATGACTCAAATGATGAAAATAGGAGAGAAGTGGCGATACCTCCCAAGACACGGCCTATCATTAAAACTCTGTACTGAGGAGAATGCTTGGTAATGCAGCTCAGTATATAGGTAATGCAATAAGTCACACATGCCCTCCTTCGACCCCTGACATTAAGCCAAGCAGATCACACTTAGTAAAGGAAAAACATTATCATAAAACAACAACTCTCGATGAACCACTCACTGCTTATCAGCCAAAGATCCAACAATCGTCCCAAACAGCATGGAGGACCCAAAACCAGCAATAAAAAGCTGTCCAATCTCCCCTTTCCCAAAGCCATATGTAGTATAAAGGAAGTAAACATATGGACCTTGCAACCAATCACCAGCTGTCACATAAACAGTAATTTATCAGGAACAGAATTGCTGAAACAACTTAATCAACAAACTCTAGTCTGATATTGAAGGCAAGATAGAATATCCAAATCTAGCTAGCCTTAAGAAGCTGCTCAACTAAAATTCAACAAAATAAACCAGATCCAATCTCCATTGTCAGTTTACAAGTCCAAAACACAACGGAAGCTCAAGCTTTTACAGCACCAAATACTAACTCTCCACTAAGTAGTAGAAAAAACAAACAAAATGAAAAACAAGAACCCATATCAGACCCAATTATCTATAACCAATCTAAATCCAGATCCCACTTCCCCACCCTATAAAAAAACACAACCCAAATCCTGCATTTCTCACACTTCTCATTTTTCTCATAAAATTTCCATCTTTGAAGACCCAAAAAAACAAATCCCACAAAAATGCTAATAAGCCCACCTCCAAAAAACAATCAAACACACGTAAATCACATCAGATCCATGCACATACATTATAGATCTAAAAGGGTTAGGATTTTTAATGGAAAAATAAAAGAAAAGGCACACACTTACCCATCATAAGAGAGTACACTACAAGGTAGTTATTCTTGAAAGAATTGAAAGCAGGAGATGTATTGATTCGATCTTTTGTTGTCTTGCTTATCTCAACTCCAAACACTACAGCACTTAATGCACCAAAAACCAAATAGTAAAAAGCTTCCATTTTTTCTTATTTCACTCAATATCTCTCGGTTTTTGAGAGAAAGAACCCCAGAACAACACCCCCTGTAATGTATAATGTAGTGTTGTCCGGCGTAACAATCTCTTCAAAGAGCGTGTGAGATTCGCTTTTCTTTGAAGCCCGTGCGAGCGAGAGACAGAGGAGGTATATATAGCAAAGTTGAAGACGAGGAGGCTGTTATCTTCTGCATGCAATTCTATCATCATTTCATAGTATATTTAGCTGGTGGCTCGCTCATGATTCTTGGACTCTTTGCCTTTTCGTTTGGTTGTAACTTGTACGTTTGACTTTTCACTTTTTTCTCTGGTTGGGTCTCAAAATCATCGAGGCTTAATTATCTATCTAACATTGCAATTAAATGCTACCATGAAACTAATAGTATGGAGTTGTGTTGAGTAATAATGGTATTTTTAAATCAACTTATATGTCTATGGAAATTACATTTCTTTCTGAATAATCTTTGATAATTTCACTTCTCAGTTGATGTATTTAGAGGGATTTAATAGATTTTCTTAAGTATTTTCCTTTTGGCTTTTGTTGGGTCTCAAAACTTAAATTAACGGTAATTATCTGTCCAGTAGTGCAATTAAATGCTACCTTTAAACTAATAGTATTGAGTTGTATTTCATAATATTGGTATTTTTAAATCAACTTATATGTTTATTAGTACTAAATTTCTTTCTAAATAATTTCAATGGCTCATCTCTAATATCATTCTGATGTATTTAATGGAATTTAATAGATTTTTATAGGTTTTGATCTCAAGATTTAAACCTAAAAAGTCAAGAATGAAGCATACTTCTTTGAATATTAAACTAGTCATTTAAAATTAATTTAATCTTTTGGTAACTGTAGCCACAAGAAAAATAAAATAAAAAATTAACATCAAAGTTTTAGAGGTCAAGATTAATCATAACAATAGGTGAGTATTGTTATCTTTTTTTTTTCTCTTTATTGTTGTTATCTACTTTTTTTATATAGTTTGACTTATATATATGTGTGTGTGTGTGTGTAGAGAGAGAGGGTGGGGGGAGGATCTCTAAGATGTGTATTGTAATTTCTTGAAAAACATTAAAGATTATTCTCAAAACTAGTTAAATTATTTATATTCAAATATAGATTAAAAAAATATATTTCTAAATATGGCATATGAAAAGTCTCAAGCTAATATTACTAAAATAACACTATGAATTTGCTTGAAAAAAAATCAAGGATAACAACAATCAATAAAGTCTCAAATTAACCCAACAATAATAATATAATTATTTTTAATATAGGTTTAGCCTAGTTCATAGATAGGTATTTGATTATACTATTATTTAAATCTTAAATTAGAAAAAGAAACTGTAAAAATATTTTAGCATTTATTATTGAAAATTTTGACAAGATACAAGTATGAGAAGCCAGAAAGAAATTTATTAATTAAGGATATATGTTTGGAAATTTGATATAAGTTATTTTTAAAATTGTTTTTAATGAGAAATATATTAAAAAATATTTCTAATATTAGTATATTAAAATAATTTAAATTTAAAAATTTAAAATTTAAAATTTTTTGTAAAAAAATCAGACCCCGCCTATAAGAATCTAAGTACAAAATTGTCAGGGCCCTGAAAAACACGGTGTTCACGTCACGGAAGTAGTACACGTGTCGAGATCAGACGATTTGATATAATAAATTCCGGCCTCCAGTGTCGGTGGTCGGTGGACTAGAGCTGGTGGTAGTCTGGTGGAGACCCGTATGGCAACGTCTTGGATCATGTGCTTCCCTGGAGAAAGGTTATTCCAGTATTTTTATTTTTATTTAGTGATTAGGATGTGGGGTATGTTAATGTATATTTCCACTAATTTTATAACTTATAAAATTAACAGTAATATAAGTTTTTAGTATTTTTAAAATTTATAAATTTTAAATTAATTATATTTGAAAAACAAATCTAAAACCTAATTAATGAGTTACACCTCTCATGATTAAGTTATTTTATTATTATTATTAAGAGTTAATGTGGTGTAAATGTTTTTAAAAAATATTTTTATTTAAAAATATATTAAAATAATTTTTTATTTTTATAAAATTACTTAAAAAATATTAATTTAATTTTTTAAAATAAAATATATTTTTAAAAATTATTAAAATATGGAAATCACCACTCTCTTGTACAATCAATAAATTAATATATAGGATTTGCTATAAAAACTAGACAATACATAGAGCTTTTATTGTAGTGTCAAAATAATTATTTTTTAAAATATTTTTTACTTGAAAATATATTAAAATAATTTTTTTATTTTTAAAAATTTATTTTTTATATCAACATATCAAAACTATTTTAAAACATGAAAAAAATATTTAAAATATTTAAAATAAATTAAATTTTTTCAAAAACACTATCAAAACATGAAAATAATGGGCTCGTGATATGATTTCTTTTAGGATAAATATTCTATTTTAATAGAAAATTAAATATTTTTAAAATTCATTAAGGGGATTTTTGAAGGGATTTTGCAGTACTTTTTAATTTTTGAATGATACCTGTATCTTTCAGGTTATTGTAATTCTTTTAATAATGTTTAAATGTATATACAAACAGAGGGTATATTAAAATAATGTTTATTGTATATATTTTTTGCCATACAATTTATTTTTAAATTGATACATTAAAAGAATCCGCTTATAATCTCAGCCAAGATTCGAACTCAAGACGAAGACGATACGGTGGAAACAAATCACTCACTATATCAGTTCATATCTTAAATGGCATGGGGTGTTTTATGTGCATAATCAATAAAAATAATAGATTTTATCCTATTTCTAGCTCTCGCACTTCTTAAATCCAACTGATACATTTGCTATGATCTAAAATCTCTTGGAATGGTAAATAGTGCATGATTTTGATATATATATATATAACACGAGGGAATTCACTTCGTTAATCACTTTTATTTCAAACAAAAGAAAAGAAAAAAGGATTCTGATTTTGAAACTACTGGTAAATATTTTCATAAACTATCATGCATTGATTAGTTTAATGTTGTAATATAAATGTTTGTTTTTGTTTTATTATTATATTGTTTTTTATTTTAAAAATCATTAAATTTATAAGTTTTTGAATATATATATAAACTTTCATTTCAATATGTTTTCAATTAAAATACATATTTAAAATCTGTATAATAATAAAAAAATATTTAAAATATAATAGCAGTTATGATTTAAAATATTTTTTGTTTAAAAATATATTAAAATAATATTTTTTTATTTTTAAAAAATTATTTTTAATATAATGATATCAAAATAATGTGCGTGGAGACACACACACGAAGAGGAAACACCATGCATCCTACGTTGGCCTCATACATAGAATTGAAATTGTAAGGTGCTCCCATGTAGTTTCATGAACAAACAAAATTAACTTTGCTGCTAGATCTAAACAGAGTAGACAAAAGAACTGTAATGAACCAATTACTGTGAGTTGTGCCAGTTGTTCTTGATTATTTTGATATCATAAACTATGAATTCTTTCAAGTCGTGCTCAGACATGGCAATGATGGCAAGGTTCCTGAACCCGACAACGTAATAACTACTGTTAAAACCTTTTTTTATGCCTGCAGCAGTAACATTAGAGCTAGCTTACAACACTGATCCATTTTTTGTGCTGTTTAGCACTGGGATTCAACTATGTTTTGAATGTTTTAATATATTAATATTTAAAATAAATTTTTAAAAATAAAAATATATATTATTTTGATACAGTTATAAATACTTTAAAAAATAACAATTAGTTCATCCCACGTAAAAGAAGAAATCACAATAAATTAAGTATAATAAAAATGAGAGATCACAGTACTTGGATGCTTCATTAGATGAAAAACACTTACAATAATTGTTCTAGAATGAGGGCAAGTATAACACCTAGAAGATGAATGTAGTGTTGCCCTAATATTAACAAACAATAGATATTAATCCAATTAAACACAATAAAAATAGTAACCACTAATATAATTAGAGTGTCTAAAATAAATATATAAGGGAGAGAATTTGAAAATTCGATTTCTAAGTATTTTTTTACTAATTTAAGTTCAAAAATATAATAACCACTTGATAAATTCATACCAAGATTTTTTCCACTTGAAAATATGTAGTCTTCAAGATTTTTTATTGGTGAAATTACATCACCAATACAAAGAGTTTATGCATAACTCTCAAATACTTACAAGTATGATTTTATTATCACAACTACCTTTTTCAGTCAAGTAGATAATATAATTTAGATTTTTAATATTTTTATATCTTATAAAATATTATTTCAAGAAATTAGATGTGTTTAACTATAGTGGATATGAGATTTTAAATACTTGTATGCTATGATACGAAGGTTTTAATAGCACCAATTAGATTATAATAAATGATTGACGATTTTAATGTGTTTTTGTAATTAGAATAGTTTATATATCATATAGGTTTAGATTTCCTTTTTAATTTTACAATTAGACAAGTTATATATGTTTCTAGCAAGAAATAGTTGTTTATAACCATTGTAATCTCATTGATAGCTGAAATTAATGGCAGAGCCATAGAGGATAAATTACTAACAAATATTATATTATATAGATATGCATTAGAAATCAATTCAAAACAAATGTACTAACTCATATTATGCAAAATTAATTTAAAAATACTTTTAAAATGAAAAAATTAAAAAAAAACAGTTTTTTTTTATAAAAAAACTAACTGGCACTAATTAAAATCAGGCTTGCACGCACATGTTAATTCCTCTCTAGACTCCAGCTAAAAAAAATAGAAAAGCTCTTGGATAATGAGTGAAAGAAAAGGAAAATGTTTAGGAAATTAGGAATGAGTTGGAGTGAGTGTTGGAAACCTAAACATAAAACATGTATTATATATATTATTTGTTATATTAAAATACAGTTTTAACAATATTTCTTTTGTGTCTTTGTGTGTGTAAACCCTCCGGCTCTCACCATGCTATTATATTAATATTCTAATATAAAAAATATTAAAAAAATTAAAGAGTTAATTGCTTTTTTTTGACTCTATGTGGTTCCGTCACTGATTAAAATAGTTAATCAACTCATATTAATCAAGTTAATTTATCAACCAGTTCCTACATATTTT